TACTGTCCATTTGACTTCTCACGTGGGAAAGTGGTGAGCATGTTATGTTGTTTTCAATGGCGTAGAAAAAAGATATGGGAGGACACGTTTGTCGCGAAGTTAGACCCGCAACTGATAACTTTATAACCAGTCAGATACGCATTTACACGGACCGAAGCGGAGACGGAGAGGCAGTTATATACGGATGGATGGACAGAGAGGCACTCTCACATAGACTGACTGAAAGACAGATATATAACATTACAGACGGAAATAAAGACAGACACAAAGACTAAAACAGACAGATGTATACACACGCTCGTGTGCATATACATTACCGCTACCAGGTCAATATTTCATCTCAATGCTCACTAATTAACTTCTACTGTCTTGTGAAGTACTCTGTTGATCTTGATAACATTGAACATGTGTTACATGCATGACTGTCGAGTGTCTGGTTTTCAGGGACACCAGGTGTTTTCAACAAGCATTCACAAACTAATAACGCAGTAATGCTATATAGCATGTGTTCAGAATCTCCTAACAGCATGAATTTCGTTCTGTTCGGTAAATCTCTTGGTTTATTCGTTAATAAGTTAGTTGCGTATTCTTTAACTCTTTCAGTCCCAAGCAGTTGTTATTTTAACTCCTTCTACCCCAAAGTGTTTAGCTTAGAAAGTTTGACCCTATGGAGTCAAGTATAGACACTATGAAACATAAGAAGTTGAACTAGTAATCTAGAGAATAATGAATACTATAACTTTCTTCTGGGACAGAAGACAGCTGGTCAGTTATATTATCTTTACACTGATCCAGAAACGCACGGCGAGTGGTTTGGGACTGAAAGAGTTGAGGATATTGCAGAAGCAACCACAGCACTTGTTGGTTGTTGTGGTTTTTCTATGAAAATTTACGTCCAGTAGTTTGTCATTGCCCCTGGACGGTCGGCTTCTTGATACCACCGTCGAAACCATCGCGAGGCCCGCAGCTGGGATCGAATCCAGCACCCCGGCCTTATGAAGCGTGTTCGCAACGCCTAAACCAGAAACGCTTATTGGTACTCCTTGTTGTGTGTGTGTGTGTTTGTGTGTGTGTGAGGGAAGGATCACTTTTTCTTTTACCACCATCGTCATCGTTATCACCATCAATATCAAGTACAGTTGTATCGTTAAGCGTCATAAGAAGATACAGTTTACAACCCAGGGCTCAGTGGACAATACTGGCTATGGTGGTTAGTCGGTGGTCTAAGTTCCAACTTTACTGCAGACTTACTGCCCCTTAACGGCTCCGTTCCGGCGCCAGTGGAAACCAAACAAAATGTTATGTAATGTCCCACTTGAAAACTAGGGAAAACAATTTCAGTTCCAGAAAATGTTGAAGCTCGCAGAGAGAAAGTAAATCAGATGTGCCAATTCTAACAATCCCACACCTAATTTGCAGCTCGCTGTTGATGCATGCAGTTAATTAAAAAAGCCTGGAGTTTACACTCCATATTGTTTTGCACATGCCATGCTGTATAAGTGCATGTCATTCCGAAAGTAATCGGAGACTGCCATTCAGTGCAAATGTTCGATGTCTTTAAAGTGCCCAACCGGTTTCCTTCTTTTGCGCACTCATGTCAGATCTTTGTAGGTGTAGTTCCTGTGTTGATAGGTGATGTGGCTGTTTTCTAACAGACGACAAAGCTACTTGATCTTCTGCCTCTTCGTGAATTTGGTGCACGATGTTGTTTCCATACTTCTGTTTGATAATACAGGCTCATCGAGATTGATTGCGGGGGTTTCACACTGTTATTATTATAAAAGAAGTAATTAACTGACCTACACTGTGGCATCAAGAAATGTTCAGACATGTTTACAGTGTTAGACTTACCAAGTACACTCCCATGAGGACGCCATTTGTTTATAGCTGTTTTGGTGTCTAAGACAGTATTCAGTCTCCTGCCAAGTTTTCTGAATCGTCTGAAAGAGGCACATTTGCATTTGCTGCAACGACCCTCTCTTTAAGGTGCTAGATGTACCCCTTATCGTCTCAAAGGTGTTTTAAACCTCTTGGTCACACAAAGTTGATACTTTTCTTAATATTTTAAGACGCCACATTTGTATATATTTTAAACACTTCTTTTATAATAACCGTTTAAAATCCCGGCAATCCTTCTCGGTGACCCTGTATTACTTCTTACCAATAATGCATATAGTAAAACTTTGCCAGGGACCACAAGCAAGAATCAATGGTATCTAAGGTAGGGACGAAATAGAATGAGATGCACTGAATGATATGGTATAAGAATTGCTGTCATTTTGATGATTACCTCTCCTTTTCGTATGCAAATAAAAAAGTTTATCTTGAAATGAAATATCATGTTCGTGTCCATAGTAATAACCACGCTTTTTAAGCACCATATGCTGCCCTCTTTCACTTGCCTGTTAATCCTCTTCCTTTATTACATATTATTATTGCTTTAAAAAAATAATATAGTACGTTCAACAATAGATAAACACACATGCAAGCCATTTTCTCGAAAACTGCACGTTATATCGCACTGGTCTTTTGCATGCAGTTTTTTTTTTTTTTTTTGCTTTTTTTTTAGAATATATCCATGACATTGAGGAAATATTTTTTTTTCAGTAAAGAAGAGTACTATGTGGGGGGTTTTTTTTTTTTTTTTTTTTTTTTTCCCTTCACGATATCTATTTATATCATGAAACCGTCTTGATAAACTTTTGGAAGGTTTACTTTCATTCATTTCAGGAAGTAATGCACAGTATGACTAGTTTAACAATGGGTCAAAGAAACCTCTACTTAATTTCATGATTTTTCTCGTGCAAAGTCACACTGTTAGTGACGGGAAGCCAAAATAAGACTTCGTTCACGGTTTTTTAATCAAAGGCGAATCCACAAATTAAGTGTTAAGTCATTGTGTCATATAGCTAGCTTATAAAAGCTGACATAGACATCAATTTCAACCCACACACACAATTGCGATGCAAATTTATAACTATGCGAAAGGTTACCGTTTTATTGTACCAGCACTTCCTAGGGGAATCTAAGATGGGTCATTTATACTGTGATATTCATGACCTAGAGAAACGAAAATGATTGGCGCTTGGTCTGGATAGAGCATCTTTTAACCGTTGGATTAGACAGGACACGGAGTACACTCATGTCAAGCAAAGAAGGAAAAGGAAAGTTGGCAACTTTGATGTAGATATCATTAGACGTGAGATCTTAAAAATGGTAGAGACAAATCAACTTGTTACTCTCCGAAATTTTAAAATTAACATTGAAATCACAATGCAATAGTGACATTTCAAAAAGTTGTCTGTGGAAAATTGTAAGAGTCCCCTGGTTCACTTTCTGGAAAACTTTAGGTGGAAGGAATATTATTTGTGAACAGCCACGTTTGATCGCTTGTCAATGTAAATACCTGAGGCAGATCCGTGAACGACGGAGGCAAGGCTATGATATGGTAGTTTTGGATGAATCCTGGTTTAATGCTCACCGTGCTAAAGAATGGCAATCAGTAAACGGTGTACAGAAAAGAAACATTCCAAACACCAAAGGCCAGCGCATTATACTCACTTATACAGGAAGCATATTTGGTCATATCAAGCGCCACGGATTGGAAAACATTATAGCATAAGGCATGGTACCAGGAAGGAGGCGCAGGGGCCGACAGACATGAAGATGGCACAGGATATAGGTGACTCCTTGAATGTGAAAATGCATGAGGAGGGAGAACTGGCGAAAGACCGAGTTTCTTTCAGGCAGACTGTGATGAGAGCGATGTTCTGCCAAGGACCTGCTACATGATGATGATGATGATGATGATGCAGGAAGCAGTGAAAAAGGACTTATCTGTGATGCTGGACTTATTTTCAAATGATAAAAAAGTACGGATGATAGGGACTACCACACTGAAATAAATGAATACATTCTCAGGCCCTGGATAGAGAATGATATTCTTTCAATTCTGGACCGACCATCGTGCCTAGTAAAGGATAATGTCAGCTTTCATAATGCTGTATCAGAGGAGGACAAAGTACCAACGATATCAAACACAAAAGATCAAATTAGGACATGGCTTGCTAAGGAGAAATTCAACTTTGGCAACACATATTTGAAGGCAGAGTTGTTGCAGCTTGTAAGATAAAACAAATAAGACGAAGGTGTATCGCACTTCTCTTCAACTTCCTGCATATCCTTTACACCTCACTCCGATAGAGCTTGTTTGGGTTAAAGTCAAAAGTCAAATTGCCGAAAAGAACAGTCTATTTGAAATGTGTAATGTCGAAGTTCTGACAGTAACAATTTTAAACCTTTTGGAAGCCCGGCTCTCTAGCGTAGTTGGTTAAACCTGACTTTCGCGGCGGCCGGGTGACGAACTCCTTGTGGTCCGGGTTCAATCCCGGGGGTAGACAGAAAAGCCACATTTCTCCCAGATTAATGGTACCTATAATGGATTAAAAGCCGAAGGGTTGTGATATCCAGAGTACCGAGCCAAAGGGTTTACAACTCATGGTGTCTGGATACTTTAAAAAAAAAACTTTTGGAAAAAACGTCAAATTGGAATGATTAAAACTATTTTTTGATAAGTGGTTGAATATTATCAACCTGTTAGGTATATCTGCACTTGCAACAAATACATCTTCATATCCAAATGTGTCAACCATAATACAATTTGCTGTGCAGTTAAGATTCATCCTAGGGTCTAATGGTGACCAAAGGGAATACTAACTGTTGCATATTCAGCATCCTGAGCATCTATGGACTAAAGAATACCACTGTTTTTGCGTCATGGATATTCTAAGGCTGCGTGCAAAAAAATCATTGCGATCTAACAGGCACCTTTTTAAGAAAATGGCTTGCAAGTGTGTTTATCATTTGTTGAACGACTTATAGTTGAATTTCCCCAGTGAATTACACTGTAAAAATCTCACCTCTGGCCGAATAACTTGTATAAATGTCTCGGGTCCTTTCACTGCAGCACTAGTGTTGTATCTACGACGCGACCCTGAACCATGCAGCGACTGACACTGACCGCCATCTTGCTACTAGCTTGCACCCTACCAGGTAAATCATTTTAAAGGTTTAGCAGGTATTAGGATTTGGTTTCTGCGGCTGATGATTCAAAAATAACAGTTATAGTTTGTTTTTCTTTGGGGAAAACCCCCTTAACGTTAACCAAATTTTGCCCCAGCAGATATGTATTATTATTAGTCCGCGGTTGGTACAATTTTTTTTTTTTTTTACCTGATCTCGAATTTCAGTCTATCCACCTGAATTTTTACGGGAGAAAATGGTCTCAGTTATAGAACTCTCAAACCATCTGACCTTAAAAAAAATGGTTTCAATCTAGAAATCCACCTATACCCCGTGTTGATTGATACGGAGAAAATGGTTCTTCAGTTCTAGTTAATTGATACAGAGAAAATGGTTTCAGTTCTAGAACTCTGTTTCATACCAACTTTTTACCCCGTTAATTGATACGGTGTGGTTTCAGTCTAGAGGGGCCCTACCCCGTGTTATCCGGGCCCTATTATAGGGAAAACAAGAATAGACCCACTGCCTTCCCTAAAGCATGTCGTAAGAGTCGATTAATTGGGAGCTTCCTTCGAAGTCGGAGTGCATCTGTCTGAGAGGCAAGATACCAGCAGTCTGCATACAAATTAGTCAGATCTGTCAAACGGATGCACACGCGACAATAAGGAACAGGACTGCAGTCCAGAGGTGGATGAACAACCAGAACTTTCCGCCGGAGTTTACAGCTGGCGAACGTAAAGAAGAAGAAGAAAGCAACTTTTAAAGAACGAACTGAGTTCGAGAATCGACGTTCTGCTATACTCTTCCGAATTCCCTACTACTTTATACAATTGTTGCCTTTAGCAACTCTACCCAGATGTTGTAACAGTTTCTTTTTCCCGCCAAACAACTTTTTACTGGCCCTCTATGTTAGTGTAATATTACTATATAATCTAGTACTTGAACGCCCAGGATAGCGGAAAACTAAAACTCCTAGGCGAAAAAAAAAATACAAACAACAGCATTGAATATATATATATATATATATATATATATATATATATATATATATATATATATATATATATATATATATATATATATATATAATTGCTAATATTAACACTGATAACCATAAATTGATGCCAAATATGTGGTCCTCCTGGTGAAACTTACGGTGAGCACAAACTCGGACATTAGGTGACAGGAGTCTGTCAGGGGATTTTGATAAAAAAAAATGTTAATGACACCTGTATTCTTCAACCGCCGGTCCACGGACAGACGCAACCGGTTCGCTGATATTACATGGCAGTCTGCAGCGAAGATGTCCACTTAATGCGCTGCAAATACCACCACTTTAAAGAACAACCCATGCACAGCTACTGCAGAAACCTCAGAAGGCTAGATAGACTAAAGAGAACCTGTTTTATTAAGAACGCAAGTACCAAGCTCGCTGTCCTCAACTCCCTCCCATAATACCAAATGTTTCACTGAAACCTTACAACGACTGCCCCCCTTGGCTTAGGGATAGCCTGGCAACAGTCAGAACCACTGTAACATGGATCTCCTCCAAATTATCAGTGAGCCGCACTGATATGAAATCAACTACAAAAGGATAGATGAACAGACTTTATCCACACAAGAGTTGGATTAGAGTGTATACAGATGGTTCAGCCAAGAGAGTGGTAAGAGACGGAGGAGGCTGAATATACATAGAATGCCCAAATGTTTAAATTTCAACCAGGCTGTACCAACAGGTTCATATTCCTCAATTTACAGAGCAGAGGCAGAAGCACTTCTAGCAGCATGATCTTTCCTGAATGGACAACAGCACAGCAAATATAACAGAGTCGTTTTTTTGACTAATGATATTTCAGTTCTACAAGCAATTGTTAACCCAAAAGTCATTCAGTTTGTAGACTTGATGCAACAGCTGATTTACTTAGGCTTTTGAAAAGAACAATCTGTAATGCAGTGGATTCCAGGTCACTGTGGCTTGGAAGGCAATCAAATAGCGGACAGACTGGCCAAAAGCGGCAGTGACATGGTACAACAAAAATAGCGACTAACCCACCTAGAGATGAAAACATTTTTACAATCTAGTATCCATGAAAGGTGGCTGGATACACACACCAAATTCTCTCCCCAAGACTCTAGAGATGTACAGTGTATTATATTCAGAAAAAAGACTGGACACAATCGACTTCGTCAACATATGTTTAAATATTTCGGTATGAAAAACACGGAGACGTATCCCTGCAGCGTGGCACCCGAGAATGCTGAGCATGTGCTCCAACACTGTCAACATAGACGCATTCTGGCCTGTTCCAACCACAATGAAGACAAATCTTATGTTACACGAGAGGATATGGACTGGACGATAGCTTTCATAAATGCTACCGGCCTCCTGATATAAGTTTTCTGACAGAAGGATCGAAGAAGGAAGATGTAGCAGCTACAGTGGAAACCAAGCAACACAATAACAAGAATGTTATTGCAGCGCGTCGTCTTTCATAAACAATCTTCTAGCCCCGTATATTAGATTTTCGAACCATTAGCTAACGTAATAATTTGTTTTCATTTTTGTTAGGCACTGCCAGTCTGCTAAAGGTTTCAATAATTTTCCCTCTCTGCAGATGTTGAAATTGTTAAGGGGAGTGAGTGACGTTCAACCCACCAGGAACATACAACGAGTAATAAACATCCGGTGACACAACGTGCCACCATTCGGATGAGAATCGCCCGGGTACAAGTCCCAGAAACCCTGTTCAACCGTTGGGTTTTAATAGTTCCGTCGACTACAGCCGGGGAGGGGTTTTTAAATATAAAAACGTGGGTGTCATATTGGGGCGAGCTTATATAAAAGGTTAAATAACGGTGGTTTCAACTACCTTCGAGCCAGTCATTATTTGTCTAAAAAAAATAACTGAATTGGTTAGAGCAAGAATACAGAAATGAATAAATCAATGAATCCATGAATTGACACCATTGCACTTGCGGCATCCACACACGTGTTCTATCCCTTTCCTGTGAGCCAACAAAGAGTAGTAGCAGTAGTAGATTTTTACCCCACTAGGACATCACAAACGCGATAAACACCCGATGACACAAAGTGCCACCATGTGGATGAGGATCACCGTGGAGAGGTCCCAGAAACCGCGTCCAGCCATTAGGCAATGTTTATGGCCGGGCTATAGTGCGGCGCCTGGCAAGAGCCAGGATGGGGCTTTAAAATAACGAAACATCGCATCTTACAAGGAAATGAATGGATTATGGGTAATGACAACAAAGAGTTCCATAGTGGTGGATTAGAAGCCTTTCCTCTTCCTTGGGTAGTGAGAATCATCTAGAGTCCGCATCATGGGAGGTAACTCCTAGATTTCCGCGTAACATGATATTTCTGGGGGATATTTTAAGAAAGTGTATGTTCATAGACCCCAAAAAAAAAGTTTTCGCCTTATATTGTTGGGTCTATACTCTGTGTTTGCTCCCCACTGTATCCTTCTCTCGAGGGCACTGTGACTGCTCCGTTGTACTGCCCGGTTGATCCAAGAGTGACTTTACCACGTCAACTTTTTCATAACGTGCCGCGGACTGGCAGAATATTATATTAACCTGGTTGCCCAGTTCTCAGCTCTTTGAAAATAGTTTGTTCTTCGCTCGTTCAAGGGGATGCAGCAACCAGTCTGACAGCCTGTTCGTTACCCAGCACACCAGAATTTCCACGATTAGTTAGAATAAAATAAAACTGTCTCAGTATAAAAGAGTTAAAAATAACATGCATGCAGTTGAACTGCAGTTTGTGTGTTTTGTGTTTATATTCGTATGTATGTGTGTGTGTGTGTGTGTGTGTGTGTGTGTGTGTGTGTGTGTGTGTGTGTGTGTACATATATATACCATGGGTGATTCATAAGTCTTCACATTGCCTATGAAAAATAGAAAGCTGAAGTTCAGTAGTGTGTATTACTTTTCAGTACAGCCATCTTCTATATTAAAAACATTTCTGCTACCTTTCCTTGAAAACACCTTGGGAATAGAACACACTATTTCTCGAGCTTGACCAGTTGTCAAACGCCAATGTGATTTCTTCGTCAGTGACAAACTGAATTCCTTCTACCCGTTTTTCAATGTTTGAGAAAAGAAAAACTTCTGAGGCTGCCAAATCTGGTGAATAAGGCAGTAAGAAAGAATTTCAATAGTCAAACTGTTGGTTGTTAGCTGCACTTTCCATGCTTTGTTGGAGGAGGCATTATTTTGAAGCAAAGAAGGATTCTGCGCGCTTGCAAACCCTAATATTCTTGCACAACGTTTCTCGGTTGTTGTTTTTTAAGTTGCCTGAATTATGCTGTCCATTATTGGTTTTGCCCTGAGGCAGGTATCCTTTCAAAAGAACACCGTTTACATCCCCAAAAATATATCAGCATTACTTTTCCTTAGAGTTTCAGTGTTCTTTGTTTGACATGTTTGGGGAATCTGTTTCCCTGAGTATTCTGACAATTTTAGACTCGTCATAATGGTGGACCCAAATCTCGTCTATTGCCATAATATTCGTCAAAATATTTTCTGACAAATACTTTTAGAGTAGCCGTCGACAGCAAGTTATCCTCATTTCGGTCTGTGCACATGTTAAAGATGTGGAACCCAGCGGGTGCACACTTTTCTCATTATCGCTGTGTAGGATAACATGCTAGCAACTGTACTTTTACTCTAACTGTGCTGGAAAGGACCTCAGTTGTGATTTTCCACTGTGTGTAATGGGATGTTCTGTGACACCATGGCAGTGATCACAACCGAGTACCCTTGGACTTTAAATGTTTCAGCTACTAGAGCTATATGTCAGTCCTTTTCTCCTCAAATGGATCTCTGCATCCTATCTACAACAAAAGGTAGTATTTAAGTGTGGCAGCTGGGCCTATAAAACATCAACAATACATCCTGGCCTGGCACAAGGTCCAGCCAGTATTATTCAATATCTACACTGTGAGAATCACAGGCGAACAGATCACAGGGAGGATATTGTCATATGCTGATGACGTTTTGGTGTACCGTTAGGGCAAGGACAAGAATGAGGTTGCAGAGGAACTTCAGTCTGAACTCGACCGGGTAACCAGTTGGTGGGGTGAGGCAGGAGACCAGGTCAACTTAGTGAAGGCAGCTGTGACGTGGTTATCGTTAAACAACCGTATCGTCAATACTCCAACGCCTGCTCTAAATTTAGTGTCAAGGGCTCCTGCAATGAAATATCAGGGAGTTTTTTTTTTTTTTTTAAATAGCCGTCTGGCTTTTACTGGGCACATAGACCACGCAGTAGCGAGGACCAGGAAGGGTTTGGCAGCTATGAGGGTCACGGCGGCAGCAGAAAACTGCAGACAGCGAATTCTCTGTCTTTTATACCAAGTTCTGTCCCTTTCAGTGATCAAGTATGCCCTGGCGATCCTTACACTTAGCCAGACTCAGTTACAGAGACTGGAAAAGATACAAAACGAAGCCATGCGCATAATATTTGGGTGCACTAAATATACAGCATGCAAAGCAATGCGATACCTCCTTGGTTTTCCAAAATAAAAGCTAGAATAAGGAGTCAGTGCCGCACACAATTCCCACTGCACAGTGAAATCAGGAAAAGAAAAAGCACAGATTAAACTGAGAAAAATCATGGATCGGTCATGCTGATGATTTTATACAAGAGGTCTGTTCGCTTGAGGACATAGAACTTGGAGAAGAATGGGTACGTGTACCACCAGTGTCATGCCTCCTCTGGAGTATGCATCAAGTTGAACGTAGAATGCAGACAACAAAACACAGTAGTTGTGGAAGCATAAGTGAAGGTCCTGATATGTGAGAATTCTTCTGAGGGCGTTGTGATAATCTATACAGACGGGTCGGCCTTTCGAAATGTCAGGAGCTCGTGGGCGTTTACGGCTCATGTCAGAGGGAGATGTGTCACTCAAAACTGCGGTACCTTCGCCTTGACGACAAACAGTTTGACTAGAAATATAGACTTTCACCAGGGCATGCGTTCTTAGCGACTCGATGAATATGCTCAAGAAGATTGAGAAGGGTTGCATTTGGAGACAGTGGGCGTAGTCCCTTAATGAACGAGTTGACAGACTTGCAAGTGGTGCTCACAGGGGAAACGGACTAGCAATGGACAGGGCTGATGCACTGAATGCCCTCCGAGAGGCAACTCGATTAAATGAATCAAGTAAGAATTGTGAATGTGCAACACTGACGAGACTGCACAAACATAACATCAATAGGGGTGAAGCCAGACAAGAGCGCTACACAGGAGCCCAAAGAAGATCAGTACACCAACACAGAACTGGTGTCATAAGCCACTACACGCTGAGGGAGATACTGAAGAGGAGATCTGAGCACTTATGGACTGAATGGTCCGATGCGTAATAATGATAATCTGTCCACCAACTAACTAAGGAACTACTCATCTATGCATCTGAGAACAGTCTTCCACATACTGGCATATCAACAACAGTTGTGTGACCACACTTACACTGCCTACACAGTTTTTTTTTAAACCAAACAAATAAAGGATAGGATTTCTGAAACAATGGTTTCCCTGCGTAATTCTGTTTTTCGTGAATCTTATCAGTGTTCTGGTATCTGCTGAGTCCATTTGTGGTGCACAATTTAGGCAGTAGGTCCGGTCAGCAGGGTGCACCATAACAGAAAAAACTATCAAAGGAACAGCTTTAAATTTCGCAGTTTGTTTAAATATAATGAGCTATGAACGTGCCAAGTTTCAATGTTTTCCACTTACTCCATGAAAGTCATGGTCAAGACTTATGGATCACCCCTCGACAACACCACCCTTAAAAAAAAAGGAGTGAAAACAGACAGTTTTTGAAATACAGTTTACTAATTATAAACAGCTTCAAGATAACGAATGTTTGTATGTTTTCAAAGTCATTGTATTTACTAAATTTGTATATTCCTCTAGCCTTATGTCACCATCAGCGTGTAAACGTTAAGGTCCCTCCAGTGGACATAGTGCCGCCACCTCCCAGTGACTACAGTGACGCAGCGAATGAAACCTCCCGGTCCATCAATGATCCTATAGATGCTCTACTGGGTGATGATCATAAGGTAATTGATATTGTGGATGCCCCACAGGGATCGGATGGTGAGCCAGTGAGACCTGATCCCGCAAACGACACAGAGGATTCGGTGGATGAGCAAGCGCCAACGGAGTCCTTGGAAGACACACAGGGATCGGATAATACGATAGTAATAACTGATCCCATTGATGTCAATGATGACACTGAAGCATAAGATACGTTAGGGCACTCAATCGGGAAGAATCATTAGCAAAGCCAGATGAAGCCTTCCACGTGTAATGAAAATTGATTTTTGGAAATAAAATAGTGGCAATGTTACTGTATGGAGTTCATTCTTTAAATGTTTTTGTTTGTGTGGGTTTTTGTTAGACTGGTGGGTTTTTGTTAGACTGGTGGGCTTTTGTTAAGCTTGTGGTTTTTGGTTAGACTTGTAGGTTTTTGTTACGCTGGTGAGTCGTCGTCGATATTGTCCTTGACAAAATTATTACCACCGTTGTCATTGCCCTGTTATTTGTTAACATTATTCGTGTCATTGCTGTACATGCGATCACTATAATCATCACCATCATCACAGTTCCCTTTGTGGTCGCCATCATCATTATCCTCCTCATCATTATCCACCACCAGTCCCAATGAATGTAATCATTATCATCGTCATTATAATCAGTATCACATTTCCACGATCATTATCATCGTCGTCATTGCCATCGTCACTGTTAAGTCATCACAGTTGTCTCCACGTTTGTCATCATCAACGACAAGTATACCATTTTTTTTTATTATCATCACTCCGCCCAGTCATAATCATTACCACCTCACCCTGACATCGCCATCAACCCCACACCACCTAGACACTTTCATCCAGACATCATTATCATCACGCCAACCAGACATCATCAATGTCACGCCAATCCGACATCATCAATGTCACGCCATCCAGACATCATCAATATCACGCCAACCAGACATCATCATCATCACGCCAACCAGACATCATCATCAATACGCCAACTAGACATCATTATCATCACGCTAACCAGACATCATCAATGTCACGCCAATCAGACATCATCAATGGCACGCCAACCAGACATCATGATCATCACCCAACGAGACATCATCATCATGCCAACCAGACATCATCATCATTACGCCAACCAGACTCATCATTATCACGCCACACAAATCAGCATCATCACCACGCCGAACAGACATCATCATCATCACGGCAACTAGACATCATCATCATCCCGCCAAGCAGACATTATTTTCATCACGCCAACCAGATATCATCACCATAACGCTAACCACACATCATCATCATCATCACGCTTACCAGATATCATCATCATCACGCCAACCAGACATCATTATCATCACGCCAACCAGACATCATCGTAATGTCACGCCAACTAGGCATCATCATCATCACGCCAACCAGAGATCATCACCATAACGCTAACCACACATCATCATCACGATAACCAGATATCATCATCATCACGCCAACCAGACATCATTATCATCACGCCAACCATACATCATCAATATCACGCCAACCAGACATCATCAATGTCACGCCAATCAGACATCATCAATGTCACACCAAACAGACATCATCAATATCACGCCAACCAGATATAATCATCATCACGCCTCACCAGACATCATCATCATTACGCCAACTAGACATCATTATCGTCACGCCAACCAGACATCATGATCGTCACGCCAACTAGACATCATGATCATCACACCAACCAGACCCCATGATCATCACGCCAACTAAACATCATTAATATCACACCAACCTGACATCATCATCAACATGCCAACCAGACATCATCATCATCATCACGCCAACAAGACATCATGATCGTCACCACGCAAACCAGACATCATCATCATCACGCCAAACAGACATCATTGTCAACACGCCAACCAGATATCATCATCATCAAGCCAACCAGACATCATCATCGTCACGCCAACCAGACATCGTCATCATCACGCCAACAAGACATCGTCATCGTCACGCTAACCAGACATCATTATCATCACGCCAACCAGATATCATCATCACGCCAACCAGACATCATCATCATCACGCCAACCAGACATCATCATCATCACGCCAACCAGATATCACCATCATCACGCCAACCAGATATCATCATCATCACGCCAACCAGACATCATCATCATCACGCCAACCAGATATCATCGTCATCACGCCAACCAGACATAATCATCATCACGCCAATCAGATATCATCGTCATCACGCCAACCAGACATCATCATTATCTTCCCAAATTACCATTATCCTCATCCCAAACACAGCAGACCGTCAATTGTTGCTGTGTTTTTTATTTGACCTATGCTTGGTTAAAACAAATTTCTGTAATCTTCGGTGCCTTTTTAATGGTTTGAGATGAATTCGGTCTGTATTTCACAGTTGTGGATTTCAAGCGGTACGATAGACATGACCAATGAAGACACATTTTCTAGAGGTGCATGGCTGGTCACGTATCTTGGTACACTTGTTTGACATTCATCACATAGAAAGGGTCGTGATTTTGAAGTACTATCTAGAGCGGCTAAACATGGACATATCGCTATTAGACACTGGATAATTGATTAATCAACACATAAACCGCGTGAGTCGTTCTTTTTGTGCTTGGAGAGCTTGGAGAGAAAAAGAAAATCTGCATATGTCGAACTCGGCTAAGACGAATTTTGCTTAAGTCGACCTGACCAGTTTAGTCCCGTAAAATTTCCTTCTTTATCTTAGTATTTTAAAATCCTGACAATCGAATTCTGTTATCTCGAATATTTGGATAAGTCGAATCTAAAAATAAATTCTGACTATATACACGTCCTTGTTCAAGTGAACTGTTCATTATCACTATAAATGAAAAAAATTTATTTCATTTAAAAAAAAAATGTTCTTTAGTCAGCCCTGGAAAAAACTGGTCTCGTAGTTACGATATCTCGCTCATTATAAAAACAGGCCATGTACTACCAGTTGGCTCATGTTTTCTTCTACCATACAGAACGAAGAACGAACGAACGAACGAACAAACTTTATTTTCAAAGGGTTACAAATTGGGCACGCAGGCCCGTCTGACATTCGGCCCTTCTAAGTACTCATTTTTCAGAGTACCAATACCTGTTATCAATAATGCATGTTATGGATTTATAAAGAAATATAAAATATAATATAATGCATACACACAACATGTGTACACAATCGTACACACTCACACACACACGTATACATACTCCTATGTTCTCATACATGCGAACTCATATACAGACATATATGATACATACACAGATGCATCTATATACATATACAAGCATACACATACATAGACATAAATGCACAAACAGAAAACACACACACTTACATTTATGGATATACATGCACACACACACATTCCATACATACACCTCTATACATGCACCCATGCATACACACATTTACAATCACAAGTACAGACACCAACATATGCCCGAAACCAGAGTTTTGGAGAGAGGAAGAATAAAAAAGAGACTAAGAAAAGAAAGTCGGCACTGAGACATAGGGATAAAGAAAGGAAAGGAAAAAGAAAGAAAGAAGAGGAGAGATACAGGGGGAGAAGGTAGCAGGAAGGGTATAATCGCTGTGCGGGGGGGGGGGGGGGGGAGAGGGGGTGGGAGGTTGCAGTATATGTTAATTAGGTCACGTCAACTCACATTTATATGACCCTAATGTTGGCCTTATCAAGACACACAATATGATATGTATCTTGCCAGGCTCGTTGGCAGACAACTGTAAATGTATACGGTTTTTGATTAAAAAAAATGATTAGCCTGCGGCCATTTTCATATGTTAATTAGGCTCATATTGTAGTGTATGTATTTGAGACATGCATAAACGGTTAGGTCTCACTGTCCTGATTCCAGCAATATATGGTTGCTAAGGGATTCGTTTAGAAACAAAAATGTTATTGCCGTAAAATGCAAACATTGAGTCATTTCATCTTACTGGAATCCATGTTTTGTGCATTTTAACTATAATTTTTCTGTAGTGGTATCCGCCACTAAAATGTTAACATCTCCGCTTAAAACCGACTTATAGGCCTAAATGAGGTACCATTGGATTTTTAATTTTAATCTCTAGCTGTCATTGTTTCGTAAGTGTTTAGTAATGGTACCCAAAATATAAAACTTTACTAGCATCCCTAGACCAATGTACGGCTGGCGGTCGAAAGCTGAATACTTTGACTTAAAAAAAAAAGATTTAACTGTTGAAAGAGATTGAACTCAGTGGGAAAGAGAAAGTGCATTTAGCTAGGGAATGTGGTATTCCAAGTTTGACGCTTTCTATCATTTTAAATAATAAGGAAAGCTACAGAACATTGTTTTAGAGTGTAAAATCAACAGTGACAGACAGCAAGCTAGAACAGCGACATGCGGCTTTGTTAATGCTGACCTCCCAAAATAGTTCATCTAAGCTTAGTTCGGCAAATGTAGCCATGCATGGGCCATTAATTAGGGCAAAAGCGGAGGAAGTCTTGGAGGTCAGACAAACTGGAAATGTAGTGCTGGCTGGTTCTATCGTTTAAAAAAAAAAAAATTGCCGTTGCATAATATAAATAGAGGATGAACCCTTGAGACTGTGTTCTTCTATCTTTCTACTTCTTTCTATGAGTGCCGATCGATAAATTTTCTGTTACTTGATTAATCTATAATTGCATAATATATGAGAGTGTGTATAGAGAGAAACAATCTGCTAATGAAGCAACTAATTCATGGACAGAAGAAGTACTTTAGTCTTCTTTGGTTAAATATAATTATGCGGATGTATTTAATGCCAAAGAAACTGACTTATTTTGGAGATTATTACCTGATAAAACATTTTCCTTCAAAAATAAGAAAAATGTCATGGTGGGGAAAAAGAAAAACAGTGGTTGTGTGTTGCAGTATGGATGATAATGAAAAATGGACCTTTATTCGTGATTGGGAAATTTAAAAATCCTCGTTGTTTCAAAGGCATAACAAAATTGGGTACTAATTACAGAGGCATTTCAAAGGCATGGATGCCATCAGTATGGTTTACTGAGTGGCTACAAGAATTTGATTCTTCAATGATGCGTTAAAAAAAAATTGTTTTTCTGATCGTTGACAGTTGTTCAGACCACAGAAGAACTGACAATTTGAAAATAACA